CACGAAGGTCACAAGGGGTTTGATTGACCTCCTGGTTGCGGTTGCCGCCTCGACCTCCCTTGGGGTGCGGTGGGCGGCCGTCATGGCATGAATGAGCTTCATAGTTGCCTCTGGATCCTCTATAGACGTAGGGACCCCCAGCCTGAGGTCGGGGGCCCTCAACGCCGTGATGCTGGCCTCCTCCATCGCGGCGAGAGAGATGGCTACGAGCTGATGTGGTGGAATAAGATGGGGTGTCGTTTTGGAACTCGTTGACTTAGACTTGCGCTGCTATGATATGTGCTTGGACTTTCTCGACCTCTAGAGTGTGAGGGAGTTTGTCGAGCTCGTTGAAAGCGACAGCTAGATTGGCACTTGGGGTATGCTAGACTGGCTGGTTGCCCACCATGTCAAATGCCTCCTCCAGATTACGTTGATGGCGGGGCGGGCCGCAACCATCTTCGGCGGCCACTTGGGCTGCTTCTGCATCTCAGCGACATTGGCGATCGACGTTCTTCACTAGACGGGCTTCGTGCTCTTCAGCGGTTTCACTGTCCTTGGTGACGCTATCATGGCTGACGTGGAAAATCATGTCCCCGAACCCCAGAGGGAAAGTAGGGCAGCTTGACAAGGTCTTGGTTGAGCCCTCGGAATAATCGTCGGGGCTCTCATTCAGAACGTTATGGAGGGATTCAGTCGGAAGAGAGGGATCATCTGAAAGCCGGTGAATAGCCACCATGTTGATCACGGGCGCGGGCTGACCGGAGTCAGTCGGGTTGATCATGTAGAGGTCGATGACATGGTTGACAAAGAGGTGGTGGATGGTGTTCTGATACGCATATCCCGCACCCTCTAGTCCAAAAGGATAGGGCTTCGGCGGGTCCTCCATCGGGGCCTCGTAGTCGGCCATACGTAGGCCGGTAGCGGGAAGTGGTCGGCGCCATACCGTGCGCCCCTCTAGAGTGGCTATGATCACCAAATCGAATCGCCGCCTTGAACGATGTGGCCGAGCAGGTCGCTCGGTTACAGCGGCTTGTTGATCTTAGAGTACAGTAAATTCATCGCTCGCTCTAGATTGATCTGAGATCGAATCCACGAGGAGCTGGCATTCCGCTAAGCGATCAGTGACCCGATCGATGGATCCGATCAGATCATCATTACTGATGGATCTCCTAACCCAGTGGCGGGACGCCGGGATCAGAGATGTCGTTGCAGGTGTTGGCGCGATCGGCGCAGGGTGATCCTGCACCGTCTCCACGATCTCCTCGTTGCCATCGGGGCCGATGACCCATGTCATGGATCCGACTGTGAAGATCTGGCCCGGCTCGGAGAAGGCCACGGAGCTCGGGAAAGTGACCATCTGGTTCGCCATGAATTCAGCACGCACATCCCCTACCTAGCGCGCCACCGTCGACGAAATACGTTCGGTAGTCTACTGAGGGGTATGCCCACGGTAGTAGATGAATCGGTGGAGGTGCGGGTGAGGGAGCCGGATGGTGACACATAACGCAAGAGACAGTGATTAGACAGGTTCGGGCCGTTAGCTTGACGTAATACCCTACGTCATGTGTCTTTGTGGATTGTATTACGTATGATCCGATAAAAACGAGGGGGTCCCTACCCGCCTTATATAGCTTGGGGATAGGATTACAGATCGGTTGTTTCTATCCTGATCAGTTTTACAAGATAGGAAGTTACAGATATTACATGATATGGCATATCCGAGCAGGTTTTATAGATCACCGAAGATCTTTACGCAGTCTTACGAGACACACCGACCTGTGTCGTGCCTCGCATGGCGCAGTCTTGTAGGGCAGGCCTCCACCGGTGGCGTGACCCACACACTCTCGTGGGCTGAACCTTCACTAACGGCTCTATCCATGTACAGTCCTGGTACCGGGGGTTATACGCCCACGGTAGCCCCAACTCGCAGGTCGGCGTATGCGTATGCCTTGGTTGGCTGCGGCCGCCGCGTCGGTCGCCCGCGAGTGGAAGGCGACGAAGGGGAGCAGCACGGTGCGCTCCATTTCGCATCCCGCATCAAATGTATCTGGCCATCTGCGCCACCAGCGCTCCTGCTCAGGGACACTGGCTCTGCGTTCCTGAAGTTCGTGCATACGGAGGGCGTGCCCCGCCGCTCTGCCGCTGGGGCGGCACCCGAGACGGCGACGCCCGTTACCGCGGCGGGCGGGATCAGCACGATCGCAACTGGAGTGACGAGGGCCGACGCGATAATACTGCCGGCGCCTCTGCCGGATTTCTCTACCTCGCCGGCAAAGATCCACGGTAGCAGCCTGTCTCCTGCAGCACGGCGCGGGTGAGAGTGTGAGACGGAGTCCACCCGAGAAAGCCCTCTGCTAGCCTGTCTCGCGTGGTGTGAGAAAAGCCCAAGTCCCCACCGTGTTTTGCTTTGACTCAGTACAATCCGTTGGATTTCGAAGGAACGAGAAAGTTACGTCGTGACTTGCTCAAGGCAAGTTACTGAATCCGGCTAGGTGCGGGCGTCAGCCTGTGCGAGCCGAATGGCAGGAGCGGTCCTGGAAGGGAAGACCGAACGAGGGAGATGATGCAGGTCGTATGGGCCTAGGCCCAAAGCAGTGTCTCCCTAAAAATTTTTTTAAATATGTTTACGTTTTTTGGGGGGGATAAATATGTTAATCTCAGTTATAGCCAAATATTATGATTAACTGATGCTGGATTGTGTACAAGTAGGGGCACTTTGGATATTTAGTATTTTCATCAATTTCAGATAAATAGGATGAACCTTTTTGCCAAACTTTTTCAGGCTTCAGCTGCTTCAAAGGAGCCGCCAGAGCTGTTTTTGAAAAAGTCGAGCCCTGCAAAACAAGCCGTGTTGTGAAATCAAAGTCAAAAATTAATGTAAACCTGACTTTGTATGGTGGCCAAATTAATAAGAAGAATTAGAAATTAAATAGTAAAACTGGAGTATATTCTACTTCCCTCTATAAAAACGAATGTATGGTATAAAGTGCTACACATCTGTATACAAGTTCATATACTAAAATCAAGAGCTTTATTTCATACTTACATTTCCCAATCTTTGTTCTCTGTGTCTTTATACTTGTGTAGTGATAATAGGAAGAACTCGATTCCTAACACCAACCACTCATCGTTGCTTTTTTTTTTTTTTTTTTTGAAAACGCATTCAGGTCTTATTGTGTTGTTTGATGTTTATGAAGGATTAGCTAAAAGCCTGAGGGCACATACCATGCGCGTTTAGATGAGTTGTCTGTGTTACGAGGTATTTGTAAAAAGAACTTCATAAATAGTAATTTGAGTGAGCTTGTTCTCACGCAAGACGACGACGGCTCATACTTCCAGTTCAACGGTCGTCCGCTGCGCTATATGGGGTTGTCGTCTCCAACCAGCGAGACATGGGATCTGGCGACGCTATCTACGCACCAAATCCCTTCCCCACCCAACCACGCGGGAGTGAAGAGCACGGGATCTGGCGGCATTGATAGAATGCAAGAGTGCGGTGGCGATTAGAAAGACCAAGACCACAGCTTCAGCTAGGAAGACCAAGGCCGCGACTTTGACTGGGAAGCGCAAGGGCCCGTCTGTTGCGATGGCAGCTATCATCTTTGGTCGTTGTGGCAACCCCCCAGACTTATTGAAAGCCCGCCGCACCTGCAAAATCTTGCATTGCCGCCATCCCATTCAACAGTGTGGTAATAGCCATCACCGCCCCAAGCCGGTGAGCCACCACCCTAATCCAGTACGCGTCCAAACATATTCGCATCCTAATATTAAAGAGCGAAACCATTCCTCTATTCGTTTTTTTTTATTTCCCATAATGCTCACACACTTCCCCATGTCTTGTTTGTCTCATACGATTCAGTACATATTAGAACAGATGACACGGCCGTCATAAATTGTTCATGTGATCACGCAACAAGGTGTGTGTTCTGTTTGCAACGCATAATAGACCTGTTCAACAACAGTTTAGCATAGGTTAAGCAATTTGCAAAAGCAAATCGTATGATTATGGGTTGGATAGTTTGGTTTGCCGGTTTGTACAGTTTCAAACCGGAGACCGAGGAGGTCCTCGTACGGCAACGAGTGACACATGAAACTACGCAGACGTGGACGCGCAACTGAGGGACGAGCGGCTCGGGTGCTGAACTTCACGGATGGTGTCACGTCCTGCTGCGGCAAGGAGAAGGAGCACGCCCTCCTGGTGTTCACCCAGTTGGTGCACGCCAGCGCGGACTCCATGGAGGCCGACAAGACGGCCACCGAGCCCTGGCAACGTGCGGGGTGCTCGGCAAGGAAGTGCCGATCGATGAGGGAGTTCAAGAAGCTGTACAGGATGATCAAGATCAGAAGCCGGAGGAAGGGCGTCGACATTCCTGCAGGTTTAGCTGGGGTTTGTTGTAACCGGGTTCGATCCAACCCGTATGCGGTCATCATTCAAGCTTTGGTCTGGTCCAGTTCCACTGGTTATCTGGTTTGGCACCAAATCGTGAAAGGCAATGTATCAAGTGCAAACCAATTTCTCCGTGCAAACCGTGCAAACCAACTGCGGGGGAGAGGTGGGAGGGGGATTTGCAAAAGTGTAATTACTCCCGCTCCTAATTACACTTTTGCAAATCCCTTCCATCTCTCCCCGCAGGTGTTTGGGGGTTTGCATTTTAAAGTGTAATTTGATACATTTTCATCACATTTGGTGCCAAACCCCCCTTCCATCTCTCCCCCGCAGTTGGTTTGCACGGTTTGCACGGGGAGGTTGGTTTGCACTAGATATGTTCCCATCGTGAAAAAGGCCCAACACACGAAGGTGTATACGAAATTACAAACACATAAATTTTCCATTCTTCCTCTAAATTTTTTTTCCATTCTCAAACTTCTGTGTATGATGAGTATGACACAACGCAAACACGCAACATGTATGCTCCTCTGTGAACACGTATAAGGTGAACTAAACATCTGCAGATCCAATTGCCAAAACGCTCTACGGGCGCTGGCAACACCGTGCATCGATCTGCACGGTCGGTCCATCAGTAGTCCTCGGACGGGGACGGAGACGGCGCAGCGGCGGGGCTAGATGCGCCGACGCGAGCAGGAGCCGAAGCGCCCCCTTGCCCGGCGCTCATCATGTCCGCCCAGAGGCGGTCGGCGATCACCTTGTTGGCGGCGTCCGAGGTGTGGTAGGCGTCCCAGAACACGAACGCGCTGCGGTCGCTGCAGGGCCTCGTGTTGGGCAGGCACAGCCCTCCGACCTCCGTGTCCACGTTGCAGCACGACGTGTGCGCCGTCGTGAACCCTGCGACGACCACGACGATAGGTATATGCACCGTGAGAAAGAAGAAGAAGATGTGTATTCACGTACGCACGCCGGCGGAGCGGGCTCGCCGTGCACTCGTGGGACACGTCAATTAGTACGTTACCGTTCTTCTCGGGGTGTTCGATGAGCTCCATGACGACGGAGTAGCAGTCGGCGAGGCCCATCTGCGCGCCGGGCAGCTTGGCGTTCAAGCCGTCCAGCAGCTTCTTGGCGGCCGCGTTGAACTGCAGGGCGTAGTCGTTCACGTTTGACAGGCACTTGCCGTCCGTGGAGCGGACGCGCTGCGACGGGATGCAACCCATCGGGGCCAGCCCGTTGAACGCGACCTTCCGTGCGCCGAGCCCGTACAGCCTCTGCAGAAGCAAAACAGGTTAGACGAGCCTGCCTCTGCATGAGCAGTGCGGCAGTGCCGTGCGTGGACAGTGTCAGTTCGGTCTTGCTCTTGCCTTGAGCTGCCGGTCTAGGGTGGTGATGAGGAGGCGGATGAACTGGTCGTGCGTGTACGTGGTGCCGTCCGCCATGAATGGCTGCAGGAAGTTGTTGATGTAGTCGTTGCTCCCTGCCGAACGCCAAGACATTTTATACGCCACGTCAGTGCTCTGCTGCTACTAGCTCAGAAGGAGTACAACCTCCACAAGGGTTAAGAATGGAGTATGTAAGATGAAGAGACTCTGTCCCTCACCGAGTCCAATTTGGAACAATGCCGCATTGACAGCGGCCTCCGCCGCCTCCTTGCCGATCTTGGCGATCATCGCCTTCTTGACGATCTCGAAGCTCGATATCTGCTCGTCGAATGAGAGGTACTGAACCTGCACCGCCGCATTCGTCGTACGTGTTACAGAGACAGAAACAAATCACTACTAGCATCATATATATTCCACTGCAGAATCAGAAGAGCAGCAACGCGTCTTACGAAGTAGATGCCCGTCTCGTTCAGAATGCCGGCACCGCCGGAAGCGAAGTTGACGCCGCCGAGCACGTCCTTGCCCGTCATTCTCAGCTGCAGAAACGGCGGCGGGGGTGGGACGCCGAACTTCTCGGCTGCACCATCATAACACGTGTATACGTCTGGTCATGCTTGCTGCTTGATCGATCGCGCCAGCGCCACATTGATTCAAACAGCTCACAGAAACTTACCCATGTAGTCTCCGATGGTCTTTCCATTGGTGAACCTCCCGGTGGCCTCGCGGTTGGGGTAGTCGATGCCGTACCAAGGGTAGTTGGACTTCGCGAGGGACATGGGGAAGTAGTTGTTGTTGCCCACGTCGGACATCGAGTCGCCGAACACGTATGTCACCGGACCACTGGTCGTCGGAGAGGGAGGAGAAGCTATCGTGAAATTTCTAGCGGCCGTTGAAGATGCATCGTCGGCGGCCGCCACCGCGGCACTGACAACTGAATGCGCGATAACGGCGGCAATGGCGAAGACAACGGCGAGAGCTGCCATTGCTGCTTAATTTGGTCTCTCAAGACTGTGTGTACGACTTTTTTTCTGTGTATGTTGGTGTTGTGCTATTCAGTTGCTGCTGCTAGCTGATGGCTTGGGTTGCTTGATGGCGGGTGGCGACTGGCGACTGGCGAGCGTTGTTTTTATAGCTAGGAGTGGTTGCATCGAGTCGTGTGATTCTTTTGCAAGTTTGGGTTAATTCAGATTAACGGATTAAGTTTCCGGCTTGAGTGTAGTGACGATCTGTTGTTACAGCTATCCGTGTGAGGTGCGGTGTACGAAAGGGAGAGACAAATTGGCAATTGGAATGTAAACATGCCTGGTAGCTGAGGGTAGTTGAAGAACTTGTGCCATTATTGCTTCAACAGCTTTCATTGTTTAACTTGGTAGTAGAAAAATGATACCAGTGCTTTCAGCGGTTGGTTATGGATATATGGGAAATCTGCAATTTGGAGAACCAGCCCAAGAAACCATTTTCATTTCCAAGAAGCTAACACTTAGAATGACTACCATATGTGTGTCAGCTCTAGAAGAGAAAATTAGCAGGCGCGGCACGCTCCTAGCCTGTTGCTAATAAGGGGCCTATTTCGTTCTAAGGCCCCTCAACACCAATTGTTGGTTATGCCGATGAAATTTGGCCTCTGTTTTAGTCACCAGGGACGCCCAGAGAAAACATCGACTAACTATAATAGGTAACGGGGTAGCAGATAAGCATCAAAATAAGTTTATTAAAATTCAAACAATTTCAAGCTATCCAACATAGGATAGAGCATGGTTTTAAAAAAAAAAAAAACTAGTTTTATAATTTTCTAAGGTAAAACAAAATTTCTATGGATTTTCTAAGATTAAACCAGATTTTAGGTTTTAAAATTGCAATTATTTTTGCATGTAAAAAATTTGGATAAATTTTTGAAAATTTATTTATATGATTTTTAGGATATTTTTTAAAAATATTTATGGTTTGATTTATCTCTCTGAATTTTCGACTTAGTACGATCTATCATGTTCTAACGTGGCATCACATCAGAAAAACCACCATAAAACTATCAAAGGTGTAAAAATAAACAGTTTTGAAAGATGAGGTGGATAAAACTTGTTTTGTAGCTTATTGAGGGACATTAGACGACTGCTCAGGAGATAAATTTTATTTTTTCGGACATGCTAGCGGCCGGACGATCCGGACGCTGCCCGCACAGGGGCGAACAAGTGCCTAGCGCATCACGCTCGCGAGGGAGCGCACCAGTAGTGGTCCCGCGCCGCCCTAGTCATCACCCACGCCGCTGCGGGATGTCGTCCGCGCTGCCGGCCGCTTCCCACGCGTATCCCATGTGCAACACACGATCTGCTTCGAAACATTCAGATGAAACTGTTGCAACATATAAAAGAAGACAGATGAAGCACTTAAAAACAAGCATCTGAAACACTTACGAAAACGTCTGAAAAACATTTGAAAATCATTGTAAACATATGCAGCATCTAGATGAAACACTTACAAACATACATATGAAACACCTGAAAACACTTGAAACATATGCTTGCGACATGCATGTATATGCAATATATAGATCTACTTTTGCATCATCTAGACAAAACACTTGCAAAATTTGTCTGGAACAGATGAAAACATTTGAAACATACGTGTATAGCCATTACAACGTGTGCAACATATCGATCTACTTTTGCAATATCGATATATCGAAAATATCTGAAACACTTGAAACATACTATTGCAACATGTGCTTTCAATGTAGCATCTACTTGGACGAATGGAGGCTCATCGACGCGGAGCTTGACGCCAGCACGGAGCTCGAAGCCGTGGAGTGGCGCGAAGGTCGCCGTTGTGGAGCTCGTCGGCGGCACAGACCTCGGCAGGGTCTGGGGCAGGCGAATGAAGCACGGTCGCAACGGGAGGCGTAAGTCCGGGAGCAAGCTAGCGAGCGCCTAGTGCGTCGGGCTTGCCGTGCGTGGCGTGGGCGGCATGGGCGGACGGCGGGGACGCGAGCGGGGGCAGCACGGGCAGGGTAAGCGTGGGCGAGTGCGAGTGCGGGGTCCATCCGGACGGGCCCTATAGGCAGCGTTTCCGTATTTTTTTTCCACCAGAAAACTTTTTTTTAGTGGATTCCACCAGAAAACTGGACCGCGAACTACCCACAGTGACCGCAGCCCACCTTAACTCGGCCCAACAATCGCTGGCCCGTAAGAGAGCAGCGAAAAATCCCATGTCCCAACCGGAGTTTGTGTTCCCGACCTCCAGCCTCCAGGATAGGGAGTAGGGACAGAGACGGAGCGGCCACGGTCGCACGGAGCAATCTTCGCTCCGGCCATGGCCACGGGAGAAGCTCTGGCCATGCGGACCTCAACGGCTCCCTCTGCTGTCCTCCCTCCGCCTACCTGCTCCTCCCGTCTTTTTCCGCTCCGCAGCTTCATCGGTCTCCGGTGGTCCGCCCCCCGTTTCCAGGTACCTCCCACTCTCAGCCCCGTGTTTCCAGAGGACTCGGGTGATTCGTGCCAGTTGCTCAGCTGCAGTGCCTGTTTACCGCAGGCTAGGGAGCGAGCCAGTGCGTCCGTAGCGGTTGTCAATGGCAAGCGGGGATGCAGCTTCAGACTCGGGTTAGTCCTATTCTTGTTGGCTCTGAGTTCTGTTTGCTCGATAATCATGCTGGTCTCCAGAACTGCCATGAACAAATCGAAAGTGCTGCTAGAATCAGGCCCTGAAAGATGGTTGAGCACTGAGCAAATCAAGGGAAGTTCTTTGAATACTTCTGCGGCTGTCAGAACTTTTTTTCTTTTTTACGGAGGTAAACCCTGCTTTTATAAAGCAACAAGAAACAGATACAGTGTGGCTGGGGATACCAGCTGGCTGTCAGAACTATTAGCGACTAGTGGGCGGCAAACTGTTTGTGGCTTTGTGCCATATAATTATGTGAGGTTTACATGACGATTTCAGACAGCAAGTTGGCATGAATGTAGTTTAATTTTGTTGTCTGAAACATTCATGTAAAAGTAACTGGAGGGTGGAGCTGCCCAGTGTATCGATGAATGAGCTATCCTCGTTACGCTGGGAATCATAGTACTTTGGTGGTTACCGAAAATTCAATATATGTTGATGTATGCTTGTTCATCCTGGAAATTTATCAGTTACCCAACCCCTTTTTTCTGCTAATATGCAGGACAGTCACATGTCGTTTCATTAAGAAGAAAGAAATGAGTACAAATTAACCCCAAAATGAAAAAAAAGACACGCACTCAGCAGCCACAAAAACAAATCACATGAACAGTCGAACACACATGCTGTAACAGTAGTTGCCAACCCCCTTTGCATGTCATCGTATGTTAATTAGAGGAAGCAGTGTAATCTGTATTGAAGATCCTAGTGATTTATTTGGGTGAAATTTGCCAAAATGTTTCTGAGGATATATTGATTAAGTAATAGAGTAGTGGTGGGGATGAGACCAAGTCACCTTGATTCTTCATTTCTTTACTAAAGTTGGTTGAATGCTAGTCTTGCTAGCTTCGTCCTGATTTACTGATGAATTTACTCACTCTCCTTTTTTTTGGCAGTGTACCTACTTTAAATGTTTGTCAATCTTGTCAAAGGGCTGTTGTCATTAGAAATGAACATGCTCAAAATGCTGACTTTCCACGAAAATATTCAAAAAGAGAGAAGAAACCATTTCCCATTCCAGTGCTGGAGTTAAGGCGGCGAGCAAGGGAGAGGATGAAGGCAGCACAAGGGAAACCGAAACAACCAATGCCTCCACCAAAAAACGGAATGCTAGTGCGTAGACTTATACCAGTTGCATACAAAGTGTACAATGCAAGAATTTTGCTGATCAACAACTTGAAGAGGCTTATGAAAGTAGTACCAGTAAAAGGCTGCAAGTAATTCCCGTTTCCCATTCTTTATCGTTGATTATTCATTACAAACTATGCTATTATTACGCTGGGATGTTTCTTTGTTTTTTTATGACGGATCTCATTTTCAATAAACCAAGGTAACATAATATGATGCATTTAATGCAGCGAACTGTGACATATGTTTGCTGCTGAATTGATGGAGTGTGCTAATAATTAATTTCACGACTTTTATGGTGCATAACATATTTATAAGCATGTGCCTATTATATTATGCCATACAAACTTCATAGCATCATGAATGACACCTCTGTTATTTGCAAGCATACTGTGCTTTTTTATCTTGGTGAGAAGCTTATAGAGGATAGACTTATTTATTGGTCCAGGCATTATTTGTTCCAGTTAAGCCTCCATTTGGTTTGATGAAAGTCATGTCGTTTGTCTTTGGAGCTATGCATTCAGTCTGATCAGAGAACTAGAGTAACTGTCTGTTTCCCAGTGAGGTCTTCATACTGTACACAAAGAAAATCTCATCGTCACACTAGGTGAACTTTCAAAGTTTAAAAAGAATTGAGCTAGGCTCAGTTGGTGGGAGGTGTGGATGCACACCCAACCACCAAGATTCAAGTCCTCTTCAACTCGAATATGGATGCCTATTTTTTCTTATTTACAAATGCCACCTAGTTCCTCCTGGGTTCATCTTAGCACATTCATGTGTATTTTTCTGTTGCAGGTATTGCAGTGAGATACATGCTGGATCTGTTGGACATCCTTTCCGAACATGCCGAGGAATGTCAGCAGCTCAACGTAGAGGAGAACATGACTGGGGAAGTACTATAGTGGAAGCTGTTTTCTTACCCGTCGAAGCCTATCATCTAGAGGACCGCCTAGGGCCGCGCATCCCTCATGATCAGAGGTTTTCTGTACCCCGCATTCCCGCTCTTGTGGAGCTTTGCATCCAAGCTGGAGTTGACCTTCCTGAGTATCCCACAAAGCGTCGAAGAAAGCCTATCATTAAAATTGGAAGAAAAGAGTTTGTCGATGCAAATGAAGATGACCTACCAGAACCAGAGCCTGACAGATTTAAGCAGCCACTTCTTGAGGAATTACATTACGATAAGATTATTGCTCCATCTATCCCTGAGGAGACAGCGGCTCTTGCTGAGGAGACACTTGAAGCATGGGAGGCCGTTAGGGATGGTGCCTTGAAGCTTATGAAAGGCTATGCAGTGAGGGTTTGCGGATACTGCCCTGAGGTCCATGTTGGGCCAACTGGCCCAAAGCACGCAACTGTGGAGCTTTTAAGCACCAGCAGAGGAATGGACAACATGGATGGCAAGCAGCGGTGCTCGATGACCTAATACCTCCTAGATACGTCTGGCACATGCCAGAATCGGGGGAGGAACTGCAGAGGGAGCTAAAGACCTTCTATGGTCAGGCACCAGCTGTTGTTGAGATATGCATTCAGGGTGGTGCAAAAGTTCCTGAGAAGTACAAAGCCACTATGAGACTAGATATAGGAATTCCCTCTAGTTTGAAGGAGGCTGAAATGGTCGTCTGATCCTCCAATGATTTGAGCAGGTTTAATCTATCTATTATTGAGTTTTTTGGGGGGTTGAAAAGATAATGTCATTGTCAAGCTCCATTGTGGCTTGACAAATGTTGAATCTGTTAGTCAATGTGTATATATCAGAACTTAGACGAGATAATTAATTAGGTTTTCTTTGTTTCAGTCCACATCGATATTTCTACGTATTTCTTTAGTGACAAATGTGTTATAATGTGTTGCATCTACCTCTTGATCGCAGGCAGTAATTCCTGCCTTGCAAAACAACAGAAGGTTAGTTCAAGCTCATTTGATACTTTCTGTAGGATAAAATCGTCTAAACATACCCCAAATTTTTTCCCTGTGCTACTTTTAATACTATCTGGCCATCTACAAAGGAGCCAGAAATCTATTGTACACTATCAGGCACGAAAACAAAACCATTAGAAGTATTGAACAGATTCAGTTGAAACATATGACAACAACAAATCGAAATTTTATCAGAAACATGAAGAGTTTCCATTTGCCTTCGAAGAAACAATGCAATTTACAAGGCCTCGGCCTAGCTGACTGAACAACTGAATTTGGTTGTGAGGCTTGTCAGCTGTTTTATTGTTCGCCAGCTATCAACTAACTCAGTTGGATTTACAGGCTTTTGTAGCCGACATGGGAGGCGATCGATCGGTTTATGTGGACCATCCAAGCTGCATACACATAGAACTATTAGCTCTGGCCTTATGTAGCCTTGATCAGCATTTCTGGTCAAGTATAAATGATTGAGTTCAGTCCGTCCGCACCTTGCACGGAACTTTTGCATGCTGGGCCCGGTTCCTTTTCTGCCCAATACAAACGATGGGCTGGGCTATCCCCATCGCTCTATGGCTTGGCCATGAAGTGTGCTCTCAATGCACAAGGTGTGTGTGAGGGGTTAACCAACGTGGGATGAAAAACAGCATATATAGAGACAGACACAATTTATCTATTGCTGAGTTCTACAGCAGTTATTCCTCTGCAGCTCAGAGATTTCATCCAGCGGCACATTCAGCTAGCGACTCCTCTGACAAGCATGGCGCCGCCATTTCCGGTTCCACCGGGTGCTCTTGTGATCAAAGTAGAAGATGAAAAGGAGACTGACCAAGAGCTGAGGGACATGTTCACCAAGGACGTCCAGAGCTGGCTCGAGCTCAACAGGAGGAGGAGGGGCCTGCAACCATCTGGCAGTGCTCAGTCGTAGCCTCCCCTGATAGACTTGCAGTACCTCTAGGTGCAGATCAGTGGAAAAATTCTTAACTTAGATAAGTAGACTTGGTAATGTACCTCGTCGAGTGCAGTCGTGGCCGTGGCGCCGCCAACAAGGTGGCCGCGACATGTCGGTGTAGGGAAAGCCATGCAGGCGCCCGCTAGATCATCAACGGTAGCAGCAGCGTAGGCACGGACCAGTGGCGACGGTGAAGGCGGTGTGGACTTTCCGTCGCTTACAGCGCGCCCTTCTAGATCGGACTAGGGCTAGAAACCTCGGTGGGGCGCTGGCGGCTACGGTGAACCTCGTACCTTGCGCCCCTGCCCCCACCTTCCTCTTTATAGCGCTGCGCGATGGGGGCCCATGAGCCAAAAGAACGGCTGGACGCCCCCGATCAGGACGCGGATCAAGGACCCAATTGGCTACTGGGCCAACTGGTGGAGATAAATCTAACATCCCCGAGCCCCACCGGTGAGGCACAGTACTTCACTTCCATCCTCTTTTATATTGAAAACTATTGAAGGATGTGGTTTTGAATACTGAAGTGATGTTTGTGTTTATATATATTTGGTTTACGCAAAGTCTAAGCATAGCAGTAATTTCAGCTAGAGAAAAAAGGCCGATTAGCATTTTTAAGTTAAGTTATGATTGCTAAGCAGAGAAAACGAAAACTTTGCAGGTTCTAGGACTGCATGTGTTTCATTCTAATCTTCAACTTCGAGTATTTGTTTTGATATAATATCTCTGTGACATAAGGACCTAATCGATTGACACTTTCAACAAAAACATACAGGAAGGCTTGTCAGTTCTAAATCCAAATATATTTTTGAAGATTGTGGTAGCCTTGAAAGCCTACCATTCAAGATACAGAATTGTACTCTTCCAGTCTTCGGTTGCCTTGTGATGTGTGTTTCCTCAAATGATAGTTCATAATGAAGTGCTAGAATTATCCTCTGTAGCTGTATTTTTCAGTTAAACAAACATGATGTAGAAAGATGGTACTGCAATTAATTTAAAGAACAATTTACTGGAGGTAACACAAAGTTTTTCTTAGAAATTTAGAATCAAACATTAAGTGTCCTTCGTTTGTTCATTAACCGGCACGCTTACTTCTTCTGTCATTCTTTCTTTTTGAGGGGAAAGGGCCTCTCACTGTAGGATTGTAATGTGCAAGTTTCTGTATATAGCTTTGAAAAAGTATGTCAGTTCATCGTCACATTTTACACTTCTGAAAAAACTAATAGGACTGAGCAAATAATCCCATATTACTGGTCACTAGACTGCAAGTTGTTCGGCAACCACATAGTTAGTTACATCCATTCCAAATTTGATGCCTGCCTTCACTTCATCTTTGCCCGTGTTTAGTTGCAAAAAAAGTTCCAAAAAAGTGATACAGTATCCATCACATCGAATCTTGCGATACATGTATGGAGCATTAAATATAGATGAAAAAAAAACTAATTACACAGTTCGATGGGAAATTGCGAGACGAACGTTTTGAGTCTAATTAGTCCATGATTGAACACTAATTGCCAAATAAAAATAAAAGTGCTGCAGTAGCCAAATTCCAACTTTCCCCTGTTACAAATCGCATTGTCATGTACGGTTGATTCTGACTATGACCTATTGTGTGACTTGTGTATTTCCTCACTCCTTCTCAGGTACAGCAAGCACCCCCACTGCCACCGCCTCCACCTCCAGCAGCGCAGCACCCATGCGCAAAGAGGCCAGCAGTCGGACCGCCTCCGGGGTTCGCGGATGTTTCGCACGCCACCGCTGAAGCAGTACCAACACCGGCCACCAGGGCCAAAGGTGCCAGCACAGCCACAACAACCGGCGCCGCCGAACGCCCACCGCGCCCCGGCCCCACCAGCGCTGAACGCACAAAGGGCGGGGCATGCTCCGCAGCCGGCGCCAGGCGCACATGGCGGCGCCACGGCCGCGACACCAGTGCACGCCGGCCCCATCGCCTTGCCCGGGCTCCAGCGAAGGACGATGCGCAAGCCACCGCACCCAGCGGCGAAGAAGAAGCCCACGGTGCCGTGCACCATCTGCGGCGTGCTGTGCATGACGGCGTGGCACCTGAAGCAGCACGAGCAGGGGCGGAAGCACCGGAACAGGGTGGCCTACCTCGCCGGGGAGATGAACGTGCGGTGCTCGGTGTGCAACGCGCACCTCTCCAGCGGGCTCAACGTCGAGCAGCACAACGCCGGGAAGCAGCACCTCCAGCGTCTCAACAGGGGAGCCGGAAACACACGGTTGCACTTTACTTTAGTGGCGGCACACGCTTATGACTTGCACTACATACTGCTAGTACTACATATATGAATTGAAACAATATGTGATGATGCTATATGTTCAGTGATACTCAAACTTTGGACATTGTTTATTTTCGTTAGTATCTGCTACTAGAACTATCATTTGGATTGTGTAATCGATCTGTAAGGGCCGTTTGAATCTTTTCATTTTGGAGGAATTAAAATCTACTTAAAGAAATAGATTATTTGTCTTGAAATTTGACATTCCACAACTTTCTCAAGCTCACAAATAAGCCTATCTCAAATTCATAGAGTGGAAGATAAAAATGAATTCTATAGATTACTATGCTATAATTATACTCTCTAATTTATAGCATACTCTCCAACTCACTTCCCTACAGTACAAATGCAACATATTAATATGTCTCTTGTGTGGCTAACAATAATATACAAATATATTCCATATACAACTATATTAGCTTAATTAATCTATGTCTAAATTGTAATTATTAGAATGAATTCAATTCTAAGGATCCAGATAGGCAATAAGGGTTTTTCAGATTTGTTGGTGAGTTTGACTCTGTTATATCCGGCTCCTTATATTTGTGTGGTCTCTTCGATGCTGCAGTGGTTATCAGGATTGTTTCATGGGTGCTATTCCATTATCTATCCTTTGAAATCATGTACCATGTCATCGTGAAGCATATTTTGTGTCCTGAGGTCTCTGAAAGTCTTAGTTGATGCGTATGCGTATCCATCTTTTCATTGCATTGATCCAACGACAGTACGTAACATGTGGCTGGCAAAAGTAAGCATAAACGTAGCAGTGAAAGATGACATCAACTTCTTCTAGTTCTAGAGTTCCTGACTCCTGAGATACAGCTAAGCCTAAGCCGCACACAAGTTTTTGCTATATGCCAAAGTGCCCAAGTGTACTGTAATACCTCCAGCAACAGGTGTGCCCGGGCCATGAAGAGACACTTGAAGCATGGGAGGCCGTTAGGGATGGTGCCTTGAAGCTTATGAAAGGCTATGCAGTGAGGGTTTGCGGATACTGCCCTGAGGTCCATGTTGGGCCAACTGGCCACAAAGCACGGAACTGTGGAGCTTTTAAGCACCAGCAGAGGAATGTACAACATGTGGATGGCAAGCAGCGGTGCTCGATAACCTGATAGCTCCTAGATACGTCTGGCGCATGCTAGAATCGGGGGAGGAACTGCAAAGGGAGCTAAAGACCTATGGTCAGGCACCAGCTGTTGTTGAGATATGCATTCAGCCATTCAGGGTGGTGCAGAAGTTCCGGACTAGATATAGGAGTTCCTGATAGAACTTAGGATCACCTGGGTATGTTCTTAAAAATCTTGACATAAGCATCAATTATGATCTACGGTATGAAACCTAGAGGGAGGGAGAGAGGGGATAGAAGTCGCTAACCATCGGGTTTGGTGGAGGGGGAAGCCATGGCGGTGTCGGTGACGCAGGGTGTCGGCGAAGGGGAGGCAATGACGTCCGGCAATGGTGCGGATGACGGGCGTGGTGCAGAGGCACCGGTGGAGCTTCACGTTGTTGTCCGCACCTCCCTCTAGATCGGTTAGGGTTTGTAGGTGAGGTACTGTGGGCGGCGGCAAACCTCGTCACTTGAGCCCCCGGCCCCCATTTTCTCTTTATAGCGCTGCACGACAAGGGCCCACCAACCATGATTTGGTTGGGCGTCCCCGATCAGGGCGCTAGTCAGGGTCCGACTCGGTCGTTGGACCGAGCCGGTAGAGATCAATCTAACATTCTCCTCTTGATCTCATTTTATGACTTGGACTTAAAATAGTTATCTCAGCCTATTTCATTATAGATTAGTGTATAGAGCGTGCCTCGTCACAACAGTTAGTACCATTGGAGTAACAGCTATAATGTACCTCTCTATTTTTTAAACAGGTTCTCAACTAGGCCCTTATTGTACAGGGATCATAGGCTTTCCCGTAAACCCATACCGGCTAAGTATTCTCTGAACACATTGGGAGGTAAGCCTTTTATAAGCAGATCCGTAATCATTTTCTTTGTACTTACATGCTCGAGACTAATACAATGATCCCGGACTTTGTCTTTCACAACATAGAACTTTATGTCAATGTGTTTCGTAGCACCACTTAACTTATTGTTGTGAGCATAACATACTGCTGGCTCATTCTTGCAATTCAACTTGAGTGGCCTATGAATGTCGTCGACCACTTTCAACCCAGGCATAAATTTCTTTAGCCAGTTCACCTGTCCCGTGGCCTCATAACATGCTATAAACTCGGCATACATTGTGGACGACGTAGTGACGGTTTGCTTGGAGCTTTTTCACGATATAGCTCCTCCTACGAGAGTAAATATATAGCCTGATGTCATCTCCCGTAAAAATCGAAATCTGAATACCCCCTCTATATGTAGGGAATCAAATCTTTTGTACATTAGCATGATGGCTTTTGTGCCTTGCATATAACATAAAGCTTTCTTTATCATTCTCCAGTGTTCTATTCATGGATTACTCTGATATCTGCTAAGTATCCCGGTAACAAAAGCTAAGTCAGGGCGTGTACATATTCCTGGATTACTCAAAGGAGGTTTAAATTCTTTTATATTTTGAATTTGAGTATAAGAAAAGTCGTACTATAAAGGAGAACACAATGTTTAAGCTAACATGTGCTACAAAGTGCTCAATCTTACACATACATCCTCAGCTACTCTGCCAAGACAGCCAACACTTCACTCTTACCCTTGCTGTCTTGCCTGGTGCGGTAGTGCCGCACCTGGAGAGAGGCACTGCCGCGACTTTAGTGACTGTTGCGGCTGGGGGTACTTATACATTTTCTCTTCCTTCCCAACGTCTCTCTTCGACTCCCCACTCATTCAGTTCGTGCAAAAACAGAAGAGTGTCTTTCTCTCTCTCCTCCATTGATGACCTTGAGCTTCCAAGCATTCTCCTTTGATTTTTCCATCAATCCTTGAGAGAAAAAGGTCCCGAACTCAATTAGAGAGCAGATCCTTTGATTCCTTAACTCAAAAGAGCACTTGGTTCATGTTTTGGCCGGCGGTTGTGTTTATTACTCTTAGAGCTTTGCTCCTAGCCGGCTAGAGCATCGTCCATGGAGCTTGCCAACTTATATGGCAGTCCAGGGAGTTTTGTAACCACCTCTTGAAGCTAGTAAACTCACTCCTCATCTCGATAGTTGAGTCTCTTGACTTGAGAACGAGGAAGGGTTGCAAAGCTCTAAATCTTAGTGGCTAACCTCAACAACGTGGACGTAGGCAAGCCTTGGTGGCGAGCTGAACCACAGGTTAAATCATCGTGTCACCTTATACTTGATTTACATCATTTGCATTTCATATTATTGTTGAGGTGATTTTTAGGGTTTGTGGTCGATCTACTTGTGTGTTGTGTTCGTACCACTTCTAACTTTCGATCTGTGAATCTCATACTTGCAGGAAGCTAAGAAATTTCTCCGATTCAAGTTTACATTCACTGATTTTGAACTGTGACTCGAAGTTATCTGTAGGTACGGCAGTGCCACTGTTCTGGCCCGGCAGTGCCGCGAGGTCAGAGCGGCAGTGCCGCAGATTGAATTTGATGAAAGTTTAAGTATTTGTTTTGACAGGCCTATTCATCCCTCTAAGCAAACTAGAGATCCTACACTTTCGGTCCTGGAAGGAGAGAAGAAGGAACACGACGGACGCTATTTATTGGCTGAAATTAGACCACAAGATCACATCGCTTGGATATCACGTCCCATTTCAATTTCAGGCAGCACATGCAGTGTCCTTATCTCTTACGTATTGATTTTGATTAAGACCGACCACTGGTCACGCTCTCACGCATCTCCTTTTAGCCACAAACACTAGCGGATTCTTCCTGTGCACTGTCAGCGCGTTCTACTCCTCAACATCCACCTCGCCATGCCTATGCGGCGCACGCCAGTCAAAGCAGAGCAGCAGGTTGGCGAGCAGCAGCTCCACCACGGCCGTGGCGAAGTGCACGCCGGGGCAGCTCCGCCGGCCGACCCCGAACGGCACCAGCGAGAAGCTGTCGGCGTGCCACGGCTCGTGGTCGTTGAGGTCCGCGCCATCGCCCTCGTGCCGCTCGGGCACGAAACGCGCCGCGTCGGATCCCCACGCGTCGGGGTCCATGCCGATTGCCTTCGCGTTGACGAGCACCCGCGTCGCGGCTGGCACCTCGCGGCCGCGCACCGTGCACGGCTCCGTGGTCTCCCGCGGCAGCAGGAGCGGCGCCGGCGGGTGCAGCCGGAGGGACTCCCTGATGACTAGCTTCAGGTAATGGAGGCGCGGGAGGTCGGACTCAAGGACCATGTGTTTGTTCGCCACGACGCTGCGCACCTCTTGCTGCGCCTTGGCAAGAACGTCCGGGTTCCTGACCAGCTCCGTCATCGTCCATTCCACGGTCGCCGACGACGTGTCAGTCCCAGCAATAAACGTGTCCTTTGGCATCCAAACACAATGTCAGTCGTCCATCGATGCAAACAATGGCATGCACTTGTGTACTCTCGTGTTATATATGACGTCGTATGTATCTTACCGTTAGGATGCCTTTGATCTGGATACGGCTGACGAACGTGCTCTAGTGAGCCGGGTCATTGTGCAAGCGGAGGAGCACGTCAACCAAGTCGCCCTCCTCCTTGGACTTGGTGCCCTTGTCGATGTGCTCGTCGATGACCTTCTCGTAGAACGCATCGAGCTCACGGAAGTTCCGCTCCAGCCGCCTCCGCAGGCCACGGAGTGCGTCCAGCCATCAAGCCACGGCATGTAATCGGCCACAAAGAAAGCGCCCGAAGCCTCTGCGTCTCCTCAAGGATAGCCCTAGTCCGGACGCTGTCGACGCCGCGTCGCGTCGGCGTTGTCGCCAAGGGCGACACGCCCGCACGATCCGGCTGGTCGTCGCGACAAGCCTGTCGCTTCAGTTCACGGAGAACCACCACCGTCCCTCGACGACTTCGTCCGCCACGGCGGCGGCAGCGCGCTGGCGGCCTCGGCCTCCTTGACGCCTCGGAACCAGCGCGACGCGCTGGGCGCCGAGGAGAGCTCCGACAGCACGCGGTGCCCGCCGGGCGCTGTAACACGTCCGGGGCCGTGAAGGAGAGGCGTTCGCAGGTCGTAGGAGAGCTCTGGTGGCGCGCAGTCTACGCCGGCGGCCCGACGGGCCCGATCATTGTCTTTGGAACACGGCGCATGCCGCGTCGGCCGACGAGACGACGAGCGTCGGCACGGAGCCGAGGCGGAGAAGCATGAGCGGCGCCGCATGCCGCGCCGCCAGGGAGGCCTGTGGGTGCGTGCTGAGCTGGTGGAGGTTGCCGATGATGGGGAGTCCTCTTGGACGTGGGAAAGGAGGCGGCGTGCTGACGGCGTGCCTCTTGGACGGTGAAGGTAGCATGCGCTTGAAGAGGATCACGGTTGCAAGTGCGTAGTTGATCTCCACCAATAGGCCCAACGGCCTATTGGGTCCTTGCCTCTGCTCCCTGATCGGGGGAGCCCAACCCTAACTGGTTGGTGGGCCCCTGTCGCACAGCACATACAAATAGAGAAGGTGGGGATCGGGGCTCGTACGACGAGGTTCAACGGAGCCGCCACTCCCACCTACAGTAACCCTAAACCGATCTAAAGATCGTGCTGCCAGCGACGGGATGTGCCCCAACCACCACCGTCGCACCTATGCAGGGTCACCACAGCGCCACTGGATCTACACCGGGCCACTGGTGATCGTCTCCGCGGCGCTGGACGCCTTCCACACCGACGGCATCGGCATCAACACTGCTGATGCGCTGAACAGAGAAGGTGAGGAGCCTTCCCACCTCTACGGGTTACACAGAGGTACGAATCTACGATCCTAACAATGGTACCAGAGCCGGTTGCCTTTGTGTAACCCTAACCCTAACCGGGTAAAAGCAAAGAAAAGGGACCGGGGTGGCGGATGTCACTGGAACCCGGTCACCACCGCCATCGCGCGGGGGAAGAAGAGCATTGCCATCCTCACCGGCGCGCAACAAGAAAAGAACAGATCCTTATTCGGATCAGAGAATAGAAAGGGGAAAAGGATCTTAAGAATCCCAACCCTAACCCTAATCGGGTGAAATAACAGTGAACAGAAAGGGGAAAGGATCTCAAGAACCTAACCCTAACCCGCGCAAATAGCTTGGGAAGAAGAAAAAAAAAGGTTTCGGCCTTAAGATGAACAGAGCCGAACCCTAAATCAAAGAAAAGAAAAAGAAATCAATTAAAAAGCGAAACCCCAACCCAAGAACGAATCCCCATCATTAATCGGTTCAATCCGAGAAGAAAGAAAGGAAAACAGAAAAGAAAGAAGAAGAAGAGGGGTCGGCACACGAACCCTAACCCTAGATCCCCTTTTCGGGTGAACGAGTGAAAAGAAAGAAAGAAGATAGAAATCGAATCCGAAGGGGAAGAAGAAAAGGAACCGAAGATTCCCATTCGGATTGAACCCTAGAACAAACCCTATTTCCACACAGTGGGTTCGGAAAAGAGAGGATCAATCCAAACCGAAAAGAACTAGGGAAAAAGAAAAGGAAAAGAATGAAAAGAGACCTCGCCGTAAACCGAGCGAATCATTTCGCTGGCGAGGGAGAAGAAGACCGAACTCGGGGTGCTTTGCTTTCGCGGAACAAAGCCACTCGGGGGTGTGCATGCGGGCCGCTCGGCAATGGCTGGCCACCATTGGCTGAGAGCGACGCGATGGACGAGGGGGAGCGACAGCGCGCCGGGCTCATTGCTCCACTGCTCGCCTCCGCCTTGCTCGCTCTTGGTTCGTTGTTTCGGTGCATTTGTCTTTGAGAAGAAAGAACGAGGCGAAAGAGAGAGAAGAGGAGGGGCGAATGAAATAGGGTTTCAGGAGAGCGGCGCCGGTCGCCGTTTTTGTTCGCCCGAGAACCACGAGCAGCCGTCGGATCTGATCCAACGGTGCCGGTTGATCAGGTCGCTCTCGGCCTAGGCGGGCGAGGGTGTGAGGCCACTTTCCCGGCCCAGGCCCAGGTTGCGGCTTGGGCGCTGGAGGGCGGTGGTGGTCAGGTGGGCCGTGGGCGTTCAGTAAACAAGAAAGAAGCAAGAGCCCAATTTTTCTTTTTCCTGGAAAATTGAATATGTAAATTGGCTCAAAAGAAAAATAGAAAAGTAATTTTTCCCTGTGGGTAAAATTCAAGAAATTGATTGAAAGTTTTTTCCGCTGCTAAAGAAAAAGTACATTCTCCAGTGTTTTGAACCGACGTGATATTTAACTGGAGAAAAAGAAAGTTCTTCCAGTAAATGTTTATTTTCTGGAAAATTGATTAATAGATTAAAGGAAATAGAAAAAGCAATTTTCCCCGTGGGTAAAATTCAAGAAAAAGAGAGTTTTTCGACAGCCAAAGAAATTGGTTTTTCTCCAGTTAATTTGTACCAATGTGATATTTAATTGGAGAAAGGGAAAGTTTTTCCGCTGCTAAAGAAATTGTTGATTCTCCAATTATTTTGAACCAATGTGATATTTAATTGAAGAAAAGGAGTTTTGATATGATTATGATGTTGTTATTTTCTGACCAACGTTGTTAATAACAATATCGTAATATTAATGATTTATGCATTAATTCTACTTCTGCCCAACGGTGATGTAAAATTAGTGTATAAGAAAAGATGATAATTTTAATGATTTATGCATTAATTCTACTTCTGCCCAACGGTGATATAGAATTAGTGTGTAAGAACAGATGTGAAAGTTAATGATTTATGTATTAATTCTATTTCTGTCCAACGGTGATGTAGAATTAGTGTATAAGAATAGTTGTATGTTTTAATTTTAACCAACGTTGGAATCAAGGCATGCAAATGATGTTATTTTTATGTTAAGAAAAGTTTTGACCTGGTTTTCATCTTGTCTAAGGTGGACTAGGTAGTCACCTCATCGTGTTCCACTGAGATTGTGGCACCGGTGAGGGAGACAAAAGAGAATGATGCCACTTGGGCAACTAAAGAAAGGAATTTTAAATCCCAAAAGATATCCTATGGCTTTTGAGCATAGGAAGTGGGTCACTGCAAATAAGAAATGTTTGGCGGTGATAAAGAACATGATTGAACCTGCAATTGTGGGCTCAATCCCAGAATGTGACACGGTCACCGAATACCTCGATAGAATAAAGAGTCAGGTTACTGGCTCTTCAAAGACATATGACACTTAGCTGATAAAGCAGCTGGTCACAGAGTGTTAATCTTGAAAAGGTGGCATAAGAGAGCTCACGATGCGTTGTCAAAATTATGGCACTATCGTTCAGGCCATATTTCGAGGGGGAGAATAGAAAGACTAGTTAAGAATGATATTCTTCCTCCATTAGAGCTCTCAGATTTAGAACAATGCAGAGAATGCATAAAAGGAAAGTATGTAAAGAAGATTAAGAAAGATGACAAAAGAAGCGCAGGAATTTTATAGATTATTCACACAGACATCTGTGATCAGCTTTCCTGTAAAGAGTGTGGATGGTTATGTTTCGTTCATAACTAGCTGATAAAGCAGCTGGTCACAGAGTGTTAATCTTGAAAAGGTGGCATAAGAGAGCTCACGATGTGTTGTCGAAATTATGGCACTATCGTTCAGGCCATATTTCGAGGGGGAGAATAGAAAGACTAGTTAAGAATGATATTCTTCCTCCATTAGAGCTCTCAGATTTAGAACAATGCAGAGAATGCATAAAAGGAAAGTATGTAAAGAAGATTAAGAAAGATGACAAAAGAAGCGTAGGAATTTTACAGATTATTCACACAAACATCTGTGATCAGCTTTCTTGTAAAGAGTGTGGATGGTTATGTTTCGTTCATAACATTCACAGATGATTACTCCCATTATGGCTATATTTATCCAATCAAAGAAAGAAAAGATGTATTGGATAAATTTAAGATATTAAAGATTGAGATAGTCATGTCTGATCGTGGGGGAGTACCACGGTCGGCATACCCTATAAGAATGGCATAGTAGCCCAGTATTCTACACCGGACGAACCTCAGCAGAATAGAGTAGCTAAAAGAATCAATCGCACCCTGATGGATATGGTGGGCAGTATGATAAGTTACTCCACCTTACAGTTGAGCCTGTGGATGGAGGCGTTAAAACCCCATTCATACTCTCAAAAGAGTACAAAGTAAGTCGATGCCTAAAACACCGTATGAGTTGTGGACAGAAAGAGTGCTCTCACTAAACCACTTGTGTGTGGGGGGGAGCCCTGCTGAGGCTAAAGTATTTAACCCAAACATTGAGAAGTTAGATCCCAAAACAGTAAGGTGTCATTTCTTTGGCTACCCAGAAAAGTCAAAAGGTTTCCGTTTTCTACTGTCTAGGAAGACATACAAAGTTTATGGAAACGAGACACGCTGTCTTCCTAGATGATGAAAAGATGAGAGGGAGCATGGTAGCTCGAGAAATTGTCCTTGAAGTGAAGCGGGTGTATGCGCCCACTCCAATGATTCATGAGCCATTTTTCTCACTACCTGCTGTAGCTGCACCGACAGTGCTAGATACTATGGTGCCAGCACCTGTTGTTATCCCACCTGTGGCAACAATGAATGACGATGAGGAACCTGTTCTTCGGGATTCTATAGAACCTATTGCCACACATGAGGGGGAGCAACAACAGCCTCAAATAAAAGATGTGCCAAATGTGAAGGCCCCTAGTAGGTCTCAAAGAGTTAGAAAATCAGCTATTTCTGCTGATTATGAAGTGTATAACACTAAAGAATTTCAAATGGAAGATGAAATGAAATCAATGAATGTCAATAAAGTTTGGGATTTGGAAATAATTCCTAAAGGAGTCAAAACAGTAGGTTGTAAATGGGTCTACAAGACTAAACATGACTCTCAAGGAAATATAAAGACATATAAAGTGTGACTTGTGGCAAAAGGCTTTATGCAAAGAGAAGGGATTTATTACAATGAGACATTTTCTCCAGTCTCATGTAAAGTTTCCTTCATAATCATAATGGCATTAGTGGCACATTACGATTAAGAATTACATCATATGGATGTAAAGACGACATTTCTCAACAGAGACTTGGAGAAAAATGTTTATATGGCACAACCGAAATGTTTTGTTATGGAAGGAAAAGAACGAACGGGATACCGTCTAAAGAAATCCATTCATGGATTAAAACAAGCTTCAAGACACTGGTACTTGAAGTTTGATCAGACAATAAAGGATTTTGGGTTTTAAAGAGAATGTAGAGGACAATTGTGTCTATACAAAGTAAAGATAATGTAGAGGACAATTGTGTCAATATAAAGTTTAAGAATGGAAAGTTTATCTTCCTTGTCCTGCATGTAGATGATATCTTACTTGCTAGTAGTGATGTCAGTCTACTACTGGAGACAAAGAAATTTGATATGAAAGATCTTGGCGAAGCCTCGTTCGTTCTAGAGATCGAGACTCACCGAGATAGAAGAAAAAGGGTATAAGGACTGTCACAAAAGGCATACATGGAAAAGATCTTAAAGAAATTCATTATGCACAAATGTAGTTCCTCATCTGCTCCTATAGTCAAGGGCGACAGATATGGGGATTTTCAATGCCCCAGGAACCAATATGAGCTCAATCGATAAAGTAAAAGTGGTTCCATATGCTTCAGCTGTCGAAAGTTTGCAACATGCTCAAGTATGTACGCGCCCTGACTTGGCATTTGTTACCGGGTTTTACTTGGCATATTCCAGAGCAATTCTGGAATAGAACACTGAAATTAGTAAAGAAAGTCTTGCATTATTTGCAAGGAACGAAAGGCCTCATGATGACATATAGAAGATCTGATTCACTCCACATGGTGGGATATTCAGATTCTGATTATGCGAGAGTGAATGCATATCCAGACGTGGATTTTCTATCATCTCGTAAAGGGGAGCTATTTCATAGAAAAGCTCAAAGCAAACTGTCACTATATCGTCCACAATGTATGACAGTTTGTAGCGTGTTATGAGGCAACGGGTAGGTGAACTAACTAACGAAGTTCATACCCGGTTTGAAGGTGGTTGACGACATCTATAGACCACTAAAGTTATACTGCGATTATAATCTGGCAGTACAGGATGCTCACAACATAAGTCAAGTGGTGCTGCCAAACACATTGACATAGAGTATTATGTTGTGAAAGATAAAGTCCGGGATCAAGTCATAAGTCTTGAGCATATAAGAACAGAAAGGATGCTTGCGGATCCGCTTACAAAAGGCTTACCACCCAACATGTTCAGAGGACATGGTGTTCAGAGAACATGTAGCTAGCTTGGGTTTAAGGGAAAGCCTAAAATAATCCTGGACAAAAGAAGGCCCAAAGATAAGTATCTATTTCAGAACAGAGTAGTGAGTTGTAGCTGTTAAGTCTATCGGCAATGGACCGTGACGATGAGACATGCTCTATGAGCTAATCTGTAATGGAATGAACAAAAGTAAATGATATGAAAGTGAAAGATGGAATGAGATCAAGAGGGAGAATGTTAGTTGATCTCCACCAATAGGCCCAATGGCCTATTAGGCCCTTGTCTCTGCTCCCTGATCGGGGGAGCCCAACCCTAACTGGTTGGTGGGCCCCTGTCGCACAGCACATACAAATAGAGAAGGTGGGGATCGGGGCTCGTACGACGAGGTTCAACGGAGCCGCCACTCCCACCTACAGTAACCCTAAACCGATCTAAAGACCGTGCTGCCAGCGACGGGATATGCCCCAACCACCACCGTCGCACCTATGCAGGGTCACCACAGCGCCACTAGATCTACACCGGGCCACTGGTGATCGTCTCCGCGGCGCTGGACGCCTTCCACACCGACGGCATCGGCGTCAACACTGCTGATGCGCTGAACAAAGAAGGTGAGGAGCCTTCCCACCTCTACGGGTTACACAGAGGTACGAATCTACGTTTCTAACAGCAAGGACCAGGAGAACGCGTGCAAGGAGCTCATGAACTTGGAGAGTCTCCATGGACATTGATGCCGTGCTCGTGCCGTGGTCATCTACTGTTTGGCCAGAGCTGCTGATCTTATATTATAGCTATATAATTTGGTGGCCAATAATGTTACGTTGACGCGGACGATGAACTCCACACACACACACACAAATACAAAAAAAAGAACAAATGGTAGACTCAGCACCAATCCACATATAGTTTTCCATCAAAATTCATTTTCCATCTAAATTCATCCTAACGTTGGGGGTGGAATATAGTGCAGCCCAACAAGACCTAAGCCCAGCAGACGCACCTAGAACTATATTGACAGGCCACGAATGGAGGACGGGATCCTTCAAGATATGGAGTGTTTGTCAGAATAGAAAAAGGTCCAAGCAGGTTTTGGAAATGAAGACCTCCTCCGTCCCTTAAAAAAAAGAGTCGCTATGAGAATCGTGTTGATGAAACTTTTTCAACTTTAACTAAATTTATAAAAAATATGTACAACATTTATATCTTCAAATAAATTTATTATGAAAATATATTCAACGATCTACCTAATGGTACTAATTATGTACCATAAATATTAATATTTTGTTAAAGATATTTGGTCAAAGTCAAAAGTTGTTGACTTTTTGGGAAGCGAGAATGACTCTTTTTTAGGGGCAGAGGAAGCATGTAGTTAGACTTGTGCTGTAATGTGTCTCTGATGAACCCAAGGTAGAAAACACACTAGTCAAATCTAAGGATATTAAGGAATATAAACAAAGAAATAGATAGATTCCATGAACCGTTGTGTGAAGCTAAGCCCATCACTCAATAACGGGTACTTGATTCTCACATATTTATGGTATATTTGGTTTGTGGAATCACACATGCTTTATAAGGTGGTGCATCGTGAGTTTATTCCATAAATTTTGGTGCAATCAACCCATTCTTCATGCATATACTATTATTAGCTGAGGTGATGATGGATCAACCCATTCCATTCAAAAAAAAAAAGAAAAAAAAAGAAGAGTGAGAAAGATGGTCCACCTCATTCCTTAAACCAAACACACCTTAGAGTTTAGGTACTGATATCTATAGTTTTTCACCTCCATAATCGTAGACATGTAGTTAGGAGTAAAAGGTTTAGCATGCCAATAGCATAAGAATGAAAACATAAAAAAAAAACACAAATCAAAGGCAAAGAAAGATGAGTAACATATAATAAGTTCTCTTTGCTAGAAAAGTAGAAATCGGACAACTTAATAGATTGAACCAAAAAATTATGTACGGAGCAAACATGAAAGGACTCATCTCTGAAATTGCAAAGTATGATATATGTCTAAGTTTAGTCAAATGAAATGAAATAGGTCAATTCTTATTGGCGTTGACGATGCCACTGTATAGTCTGTACACAGTCACACTATATACTAGCTTCACATGGGCTTACCTACAATTGAAGAACCTGATGCAGGTGGAGGTTTTCTTTTCAGGAACGCTAAAATACGATCTTGTATTTACAGGTTACTATGTCAATCTATCTTCCACTCCCCTCAAACTGTGCAGGTGCACCTGCTGTCCATCCTCATCTAAAAGAAACATTGGGTGCTCGCTGCAGCTGGAGCTGTGTCTGCAAACAGAAAACTGCTTTCTGCTGTAGCTAAAACCTGATGCAGCCGCAGCTGAAAAAAAAGCAGAAACGAAGAGGCTAGATCTTAGCAAAATACAGAGAACTGGTGTCACCAGTAATCATTGCAGGAGCAAGTACCATCCTTGAAATGATGAAATCTATTCCGGTCTCGAACAACAATCTCCCTATTGTACACCTTCGAAATCAACTTTGTGGCTGAGTGGCAGTCTGTGCACACTCTTAGATTCTTCGATAAGCGAATTGTTGCACCAGGGTCCAACTTCATCAGGCCAAATGCAATGGCCAGCTTCTCACTGTGATGGGAAACAGATACTTCCTTCTCATACTCATCAACTTCTAGCCTCACATCAGCTGTATTTGGGATATACCCAGCCATCTTGATCCTGTCAATCATCTCCTCAACTTTCTGGTATATCTCCCTCAATTGGGGGTGGTCACTGTCTTCAGCAAAGAACTCGAAGACAACCCCATCCAGCTCAATGAGACTACAACCTGGAATTTTCTCAATCCCTTTGTCTTTCATTTCCTTTCGAATCATTGCTGCATCCTTCCATCATCCCACTGATGCATATATATTTGACAGAAGTATGTAGTCACCACTGTGATTGGGGTTCAAGGAGATGATCTGCTTTAGTGCTTCTTCCCCGATTTCAAAATTTTTGTGAACTACGCAGGAAGACAGTAATGCCCTCCAGATAACAGTGTTTGGCTTGATGGGCATGGTTCTGATAAACTGGTATGCCTCATCTACCAAACCAGCCCACCCCAATAGATCCACAATACATCCATAGTGCTCAACTCTTGGCTTAATGCCATAATCCTGAGTCATGCTATCAAAATGCCGGCGACCCTCTTCAACTAAGCAGCTGTGACTGCAAGCCATGAGAACACCAATGAATGTCACATCTGTGGGCTCGATACTGGCCTTGCGCATGGATGAGAAGAGTTCCAATGCTTCCCTGCCCCTTCCATTGGTTGCCATGCCCTTTATCAAGGCTGTCCATGTCCATGAGTTCTTCACAGGCATTGACTCGAATGCTTCAACTGCATCGTCAATGCATCCACACTTTGCATAGAAGTCCACCAATGCAGTGCCAAGAATAATTGCGAGAGGTAAACGCTTCCTTCTTATGTAGGAATGCACCCACTTTCCTGTCTCAAGTGCACCCAGGACAGCACAAGCAGAGAGCACACTGACCATGGTCACATCATTCGGCCCAACTTCAGCAAGCTGCATCTCACTGAAAAGAGCAAGTGCCTCTCAACATTGATCTGCCTGAGTGTAACCTGAGATCATAGCGCTCCAAGCAACCACATCCCTCGACTGCATCACATCAAACAACCTCCGTGCCTTACCAAGCTCTCCACACTTGGCATACATGTCAACCAATGCAGTCATCAAGTTTCGGTTCCTTACCAGCCCCTTCTCATCCACATATCCAGCAAACCACTTCCCAAGCTTCGCATCACCTATTCGTCCGCATGCCGTGGCTACACTCACCAATGTGACTTCATCAAAGGCCACACCAACCGCAAGCATGCCCCTAAACATCTCCACCACCTCCATCAAATCTCTGTTCTTCAAGTAAGCCGCAATGATTGCGTTCCACATCACCACACCCTTCTCCTCCACTGCGTCAAACAGCAGCCGTGCCGCTGCAACATGCCCACAGCTCGCGTACATATGTATCAAGCTGCTCAGCACGAACCGATCGACCATGAGCCCACGCTTGATTGCGTGAGCCTGGACACCGCGCCCTACATCCAGCGCGCACATCCTGGCGCATGACTTGAGGGCGCAGGCGACGGTGTGCTGGTCAGGGCAGGCCGAAGCCGCGTCGAGCATTTCGACGAACAGGTGAAGGGCGTCCTCCGGGTGGCCCGCGTGAAGAAAAGCCCGCATAAGGACGTTGTAGCACGGCGCGGAAGGCGGCGGCCGCGGGCCCAAACGGAACAGGCTGACCACGTAGGGGAGCAGCGTCGGAGAGGCGGCGGCCGCCTCGAGGAGGGAGTGGAAGGACTTGGGCGAGGCGGTGAGCTCCCCAGACTTGATTAGTGCCGCGTGGAACTGTGGCAAGTAGCACGGATCTGCGCGGAGTGGAGCACGGAGCGGCGCCGGCCCGGCGCGGGCCGGTGTGGAGAGAGCCGCCGTGGGGACGGCGGTGGCCATTCGAGTTGCCTTGAGTTTTAACTGCTTATCGTTAGTTATCCAAGTAGCGATCTACGTGAGACACTGACATCTGGGCCTACCGTAACAGGGCCCACACGACAGAGATACCTGCCTCCATTTAAATTCCGGATCCGCCGTAGTCTCCGCACACCAACTACCATGGCGGCCTCCACCTCTCCACTGCTCCTCGCCCTTCTCCTCCTACCCGCGCTCACGGCGGTGGCCTCGCTCCCGGCGCTGCCGCTCTCGACGGCGTCGCGGTGGATTGTGGGCGCGGACGGGCGTCGCGTGAAGCTGGCGTGCGCGAACTGGGCTTCGCACCTGGAGCCCGCAGCGGCGGAGGGCCTGGCGCGGCGCGGCGTGTCGGACATCGCAGCACGCGTGGCGGCGATGGGGTTCAACTGCGTCAGGCTCACCTGGGCGACCTACCTCGCCACCAACGCCACGCTCGCCTCGCTGCCGCTGCGGTGGTCGCTGGAGCGCCTCGGCATGCTGGAGTCCGTCGCCGGTGTGCGGGTCAACAACCCCGCACTCCTCGATCTGCCCCTCGTCGACGTGTTCCGGGTACGTGGTTTTTTCGCTCAGTGGAGCACTCAAAATTGTATTTAATTAATTATTTGCTCAAGAACTAGGATTGTTGGTTTAATCGGGATGCTATTTCTTCTTTCGCCTGATTTTGTGCCACTATCAATCAAGCGCTGTTTATGTTCTTTAGATAAGGGTTACTTAACCTGGCCTTCTTTGGAGGGCATTGTAGGAGCCAGGGATCGAACCCTGGCGGCAGCTCCCACCCTGCAAAATCACTGTTACTGTTACTGTGACCAGCGCTGGCCCAAGTGAGAACGAGTAAAATAATTTGATATAGCTGCTTTCTCTTAGCTTTGAATTGGCAAGTACTAGTTTTTGTTAAGTCAAACTTATCTAAGCTTGATCAATTTTGTAAAAAAAAGTTGTATATCAACAATGCCAAATAAATGCACTATAACAAAAATAGTTAATTAATTAATTGGATGCAGTAGGTGTTGCCGTGTTAGTGCACTTTGTGTATACTTAGTCAAAGTTACAAAAATTAGACTAAGGAAAAAAACTCAAATAACCTATATTTTTTAGCAGATGGAGCAGTATTGCAGAATTGCTGGTCTTGCAAGGTCAAAATGAAGTCGAATTTAACAATGTCTTGTCAGTTAACACTGTACGTGGATTGCAGGCGTGGAATTAGATTGTCTTCTCATGGTGTAAGGTATAGAACCTTAAATAACAGTCCGCGTACAATTGTCTTTTTATATGAAAACAATATATGAAAAAATCATTCATTATGATGGACAAGTGACTGCCTTAATTATACTGTCTCAAGCAAGATTATGTCATGAATCAGTTGAAGTATAGCTAAACCAGCAACTCATGCTGTTTTTGGTCAAAACAGGTTGCTTAACAAGTCGAAACGTTACAAAGAAGAGGAAACTTGAATGCCTAGGATCTCATTAGTGCTATTTCATTTTTACTAAAACAAGTTGTACTTGCTTCAGAAGTCCAAACTCTGCCGTTGGCTAAAACAGATTGCTTAACAAGTCAAAACTTTACAAACAAGAGGAAACCTGAATGCGTAGGATTTCATTAATTGTCAAGGGCGTCGAGCCCTCGGGTAGCTGGCCCTTGGCTACGGAGTTCGTAGCCACGGTCCGTCTTCTCCGGCGAGGTTTACCCCTCCGCCGTAGGCTTGTTGGTTGAGAGGAAGAGGGAGATTAAACGATAATAATCTTGCTTGCCAATTGCATTGTTCGGTTACAGCATATAAGGCCAAGGCCTCAACCAATCACTCCTAAACTTAAGGAATATAAATAGGAAACTAATCTCTCTTTCCTAGCTTAGCCACTCACGGTGGCCACGTCCTCTAGCGCGTCCTCGCGCGCGTCTGTTGCGCGTGCAGCGCGCTCTGTGGCACGGCGCACGTCACGAGCCCGTCTATGCCTGGTGTACGTGCGCCCCCACATGACATCTCTCCCCTCCTCGAGAGGCAGCTCGTCCTCGAGCTGAAATGCCTGATACTTGGCGAGGAATGGCTCGGCGTCTTCCCAAGTAGCGGAGGCAGCTGACTGGCCCTTCCACTGCACCAGAACCTGGCGCACACCTCATGCCAGGCGTGTCCAGACTGCGCGTTCCGGCTCGGGGACAATGGCGCCGTGGTGCAGGGCCGGCAGTGGCGGAGGGGCTTCTAGCGGTGGCCCGTGGAATTTTTTTAGGAGCCCGACATGGAAGACGTTGTGGAGGCGGGCACCGACCAGCGGGGCCAGGCGAACGGCGACGTCGTTGATCCGCTCTGTAACGCGGTATGGCCCGAAGAACCAGGGCTTGAGCTTGCCGGCGGCCGTTGGAGGCAGAGACGCCGCCGCGCGATGACGTAGACAGAGCAACACCCAATCACCCACCTGGTACAACACAGCACGGTGTGCGGCGTCGTAGTACTTCTTCTGGACCGCCTGTGCCTGTTCCAGGCGATAGCGGACGTCGGCGAGGAATTCCGCCCGCTCCTCCATGCTCTTGGCGACGGCAGGCACCCGGGTTTCCCCCGGCTCGTAGGACCGGATGGAGGGAGGGTCTCGCCCGTAGACGATGCGGAACGGCGTGTCCCGTAATGATCTCTAGTAGGTGGTGTTGAAGACGAACTCAGCCCATGGCAACCAGCGTAGCCACTGGCGTGGTCGATCCCCGGTGAGGCAGCGCAGGTACATGATGATGACGCGGTTGGCCGCCTCGGACTGCCCATCTGATTGGGGGTGAAAGGCAGTGGTCATGTGCAGCTTGGTGCCCATCAGGCGCATGAGCTCGCGCCAGAATGCGGACGTGAAGACCGGGTCACGGTCGGACACCATGGACTGGGGAATGCCGTGGAGACGGACGATGTCGGCGAAGAACGCTTGGGCCACGGACTCGGCGGAGTACGGATGCGCCAGGGGGATGAAGTGGCAGTACTTGTTGAATCTGTCCACCACCGTGAGGATGACGGACTTGCCTCGAACGCGTGGCAGCGCTTCGACGAAGTCGAGGGCGATGTCCGTCCAGATCCCTTGCGGCACGGGAAGAGGAAGGAGGAGCCCCGCCGGCTGCAAATGTTCGAACTTGTAGCGCTGACACGTGATGCACGCCCTCACAAAATCCTGCACCATCTGTTTCATGTTAGGAAAATGGAAGTCGCGCCGTAGTCGGTGCAGCGTGCGTTGAACGCCTTCATGGCCCTCCTCATGGATGGCTGCCATTATCTCCTGGAGGAGGGGAGAGGCCGGGGAATGTACAGGCGCCCGGCGTACTGGACCATTCCATCCACAACCGCCCATGGCGCCCCGCGTGATCAGCCCGCACGTCGTCCTGGATGGCGACAAGAGCCGGATCAGTGAGGTGTGCTTGGTGGAGACGGGCGACGAAGTCGAACCGAGGTGCCGAGAGGGCCAAGATGGTCCCGTCCTCCACGGTGTCACGGCGCGAGAGAGCGTCTGCCACCGCGTTCGCTGTCCCGGGCTTGTACTCGACGGCGAAGTCGAAGCCCAAAATCTTGCCGACCCAATGGTGTTGGGGGATCGTCACGAGCCTCTGATCGAGTAGATACTTGAGGCTATAATGGTCCGTCTTGACGAGGAAGTGGCGGCCCCACAGGTACGGCCGCCAGTGCCTTATGGCCTAGACCAGGCCGATGAGCTCCCGCTCGTAGGCGGCGAGGGCGCGGTGGCGAGGTGCGACGGGGCGGCTGAAGAACGCGACCGGGTGGCCGTCCTGGACGAGCACCGCGCCGAACCCGTGTGACGACGCGTCGCATTCGACGACGAACGGCTTGGTGAAGTCCGGCATGGCGAGGACCGGAGCCGAAGTGACCGCGGCTTTGAGTGCGTCAAAAGCCGCGGCTGCCTCCGTGGTCCAGGAGAACCCGTCCTTTTTTGAGGAGGGCCGTCAGCGGGGCAGCGACGGTGCCGTAATTGTGGACGAATTTGCGGTAGTACCCCGCCAAGCCGAGGAAGCCGCGTACCGCCCGCGCCGAGCGAGGCACCGGCCAGTCGTGAATGGCCTGCACCTTTGCTGGATCCATGGCGACGCCCGCCTCGGAGATCACGTGGCCGAGGTAGGAGACGGACGTCACGCCAAAGGCGCACTTGGCGCGCTTGACGAAGAGTTGGTGCTGGCGGAGCTCGGAGAGGACGACGCGGAGGTGGCGAAGGTGATCCGCCCAAGTTTTGCTATATATCAAAATATCATCAAAAAATACCAAAACGAATCTGCGCAGGAACGGGCGGAGTACATCGTTCATGAGGGCCTAGAATGTCGCAGGGGCGTTGCACAGCCCAAACGGCATTACCAAGAACTCATAGAGGCCGTCGTGGGTGCGGAAGGCGGTCTTGTGGACGTCCTCAGGCCGCATCCGCACCTGGTGGTACCCCAACCGGAGGTCAAGCTTGGTGAAGAAACACGCGCCGTGGAGCTCGTCAAGGAGTTTGTCGACGATGGGGATGGGGAACGCATCCTTGACGGTGAGCGTGTTGAGGGCGCGGTAGTCGACGTAGAAGCGCCACGAGCCGTCGGCTTTCTTGACGAGGAGGACCGGCGAGGAGAACGCCGAGTCGCTGCGTCGAACGATGCCCTGCTCGATCATGGCGGCGCACTGTCGTTCGAGTTCATCCTTATGAGCTGCCGGGTACCGGTACGGCCGGACAGCCACCGGCGACGCGCCTGGCTTGAGGACGATGCTGTGGTCGCGGGCGCGCTGGGGAGGCAGTCCGGTGGGCTCGGTGAAGACGGCGGCGAAGGAGCCCAGGAGGCCGTTGAGGAGGGAGTCGCCGGGGGTGACTGCGTGTACGCTCGGGCCGCTTGGTGACTCCATGCCGCGCCAGCAAATGTCACGCCCCTGCTGCTGGAACGCCATGGTCCGCGCGGAGAAGTCCCAGGCGATGCGCCCCGGCGTGGCCATCCATTGCGTCCCGAGGACCATGTCGTACCCGGCGAGGGGCATCACATAGAGGTCGACGTGGAACGCCATGCCGTCGATGGAGATGGGCGCCTGGCGGAGGACGCCTGGGCAGGCGACCTTCTCTCCGTTGGCGACCGTCGCGGTCAACCGTGGGCGCGGCTGGACGGGCAGCCCCGTGCGCAGGGCGGCGGCCTCCCTGATGAAGTTGTGAGTCGACCCTGTGTCGACCAGTGCGACAAGGGAGGCGGCGCCCAGAGTCACGCGGAGCAGCAGCGTGTTGCCGATGTGGACGCCCGCCACGGCGTGGAGGGAGAACACCGGCGTCTCCGTGTTGGCCGCGTCCTCATCGCCGTCGTCATCGTCGTCGACCACGCTGTCCAACAGGAACAAGCGTTTGCATACCTTGTTATGGCCGCGACTGTACTTCTCGTCACAGTTGAAGCATAGACCGAGGTGGCATCGTTCGTCTTGCTCCGCCTAGTTGAGCCGTTTCACCGGCCGGCCCTCGACGGTGGCGGTGGGCGCCCCAGCCTTGGGCGCTGGCTGTTGGTGCAGAGCAGGGCACGGCCCCGGCGTCGTCAACACGCCTCGGACTGGAGCCTTGGCCGGAGCGGCGGTGTACTGCTCCATGAGCTCGAACTGCCGTGCAAGACTCATGGCAGCGGCGAGGGATTGCGGGTTCTGTACTTGGACGGCGAGGCTGAGCGGGGGAAGCAGGCCGCCCGTGAACAGCTGGACCCGTTGTGCCTCGTCGAGGTGGCCGGCGCGGGGCAGGAGCGCTTGGAAGCGCTCGAACCACCGTTCCCGTGCGGTGGCAGGACACGAGCTCGAAGAGGGGGGCAGATCGGAGCGGGGGGCCGTAGCGGAGATTGAGGAGTTCCTTGAAGCGAGTCCACGACGGAGTGCCCTCGTCCGATTGGACTTGCATGTACCACATCTGCGCCCCGTCCTCGAGGTTGTACGAGGCCATCCACACCTTCTCCTCCGGCATGATCCGTTGTTGTAGGAATAACGACTCGCATCGGTTGATGAAGACGAGCGGGTCGGTCTTGCCGTCATACCGCGGCAAATAAGGTCGCCAATGCTTGGGCGGGCGGTCCTGGTGGTGCTCGCCGGAACCCGTCTTGGCGCCCGAGGATGACGTGCTGGCGGAGGTGAGGGAGGCGATGGCCTTGGCGTTGGCCTCGACAGTGGCCTGCAGCGACGTCATGGCCTTGGTAAGGGCCTCCACGGTGGTCTTGAGGTCGGAGGCGTCACCCATGGCGACGGCGTGCGATGTGGATGAGGGCGGCGCGGCGGCTGGAAGTGGTGGCAGGGTGGCGGCGGCTGGTGGTGAGGTGGATCGAGAAAGCGAGGATCGCCGGGATCGTGATACCAGGTTGTCAAGGGCGTCGAGCCCTCGGGTAGCTGGCCCTTGGCTACGGAGTTCGTAGCCGCGGTCCGTTTTCTCCGGCGAGGTTTACCCCTCCGCCGTAGGCTTGTTGGTTGAGAGGAAGAGGGAGATTAAACGATAATAATCTTGCTTGCCAATTGCATTGTTCGGTTACAGCATATAAGGCCAAGGCCTCAACCAATCACTCCTAAACTTAAGGAATATAAATAGGAAACTAATCTCTCTTTCCTAGCTTAGCCACTCACGGTGGCCACGTCCTCCAGCGCGTCCTCGCGCGCGTCTGTTGCGCGTGCAGCGCGCTCTGTGGCACGGCGCACGTCACGAGCCCGTCTATGCCTGGTGTACGTGCGCCCCCACATGACGTTAATGCTATTTCATTTTACTAAAACAAAATGTACTTGCTTCAGAAGTCCAAACTCCGCCGATCTGCGATTCCTGCTAAAGCAGAGAATTTCATCAAAAAGCTCACCGAAGTAGCTTAGGATATTGTTAGTATGAAACATCTTTTGCAAACTGAGGGCTCAATCCCAATCAGGAAAGATCTGGCCATTTTTGCTATTTCAGGAAACACAAAGAATAGTTGCTTAATAGTTCTCCTTCTACTCTCTTGTGTGTTCTAGGAAAGAAATAGTTCTCCTTCAACTGTTCTTATCAACACAGACAACATACCTACTACTCACCAAACCAATGGCCCAATGTGAGGGTGCCTTACAAGCATCAAAGTTCTAGCTAGAACAGGTATTGCTTTGTAGGTTTTGTTATGATGACTATAAAAGATGCCAAATTGTCAACTGGTGCATTAGGTGTATTGTTCTTGTGACATGGACAGAATACTAGACTAGAAATCAAGTTAAACTAAAAACATTTGTTACTAGCTTGAATTATGATAATTGTAATCCTTCTGACATTAGTTGAATTCATTTACCATAGGAAGTGGTGTCATCATTAGCCAGCAAAGGTATTATGGTCATACTTGACAACCAAATGACCACTCCAGGATGGTGCTGCAGCAGAACTGACGGCAACGGCTTCTTTGGAGATGTGTACTTCGACCCTGGTGAATGGTTGAAAGGCCTCAGTGCAATGGCGACTATGTTTAACAACACAAAATATGTTGTTGGCATGAGCTTGCGGAATGAGCTTCGAGGCCCGAAACAAAATGTTAGTTTGTGGTACAGGTGTGTGGGCATGTTGCTGTGATGGAAAATGTCATTTTTCATGTGACTCTTGGTATCAACAATATTATTTACAATTTTAATTCCAACTTAGGTACATGCAGCTGGGTGCTGAAGCTGTGCATGCTGCAAACCCTAACGTCCTGGTTATTTTGTCGGGCCTTGATTTTGACAACACTCTCAGCTTCTTGTTCAAAGAAAAAGTTAACCTATCATTTTCCGGAAAGTTAGTTTATGAGCAACATTGGTATGGCTTCTCAGATGGTGGCAATTGGGAAACTCAGAACCAAAACGATGCTTGTGGGATGGTTGTTGATTTCATATGGCGTAAAGGATTATTCCTACTTCAACAAGGCTGGCCGTTGTTTTTCTCTGAGTTTGGATTTGATATGTCAGGCGCACATATTGGTGACAATCGCTATCTTACCTGCTTCTTAAGTGTGGCGGCTGAAATGGATCTGGACTGGTCAATTTGGGCTCTGCAAGGGAGTTACTATATCAGAGAGGGTATTTTAGCTTATGATGAATCATATGGATTGCTATCATGGGACTGGTGTACAGCTAGAAATCCTAGCTTCATTAAAAGGATCAATTCTCTCCAATCACCATTCCAAGGTTTGGCACTTCATCTATCTAATTAATATTAGTCTTCATCATTATGAGAACCACAGCTAAAATATGTCAAAAGATTGTTGTTTATTACACATTTTTATGATCAAAGTATGCTCAAAGTAATACTTTGTGTACATATTTTTATTCAATTTTCAGTTCTTTCAAGAGATTAACTTCACATATATGAACTTTCAAGCTTTGATTCATTCAACAGCATTACATGTAGATTTAATCCATAGAATTTGGTTGTGTATAAACAGGACAGTAAAATTTAAGCAAAACTGAACTTCATGGAATATAAAACTTCACTACTTTTAGATCATGGCAATGCTTACTGAATTTTTTTCAGCCAGTTCATAATGAATGTATAATTATATGCTAGGTCCTGGTCTTCCAAACACTCACGAGCCATACAACATAATATTCCATCCCCAAAGTGGGCTTTGCGTCTTGGCCAGGTCTTCAAAGTTACTTGAGTTGGGTCCATGCGATGAATCAAACGCCTGGAACTACACCTCAGCATACGAGCTAGTAGTGAAAAGCACAGGACAATGCCTTCAAGCGAAGTCGGTGGGCAACAATGCAAAGCTTGGCACCGATTGCAGTAAACCAAGTTCGAAGTGGCACCTGATATCGAATTCAAAGATGCATGTTTCGGCTGAGCTCACGAAAAATGGAACCAGGGTGTGCTTGGACGCCAGCCCTGATGGTGCCATCAGAACAAATCAGTGCAAGTGCCTAAGTGTAGATCCGACCTGTGACCCTGAGAGTCAGTGGTTCAAAGTGATCTTAAGCAGTAGAGACATACCTGGGGCTGGCGGCGACACCATCTTGCAGGTGCCGTCACTTGGTCCCTGGCATCCGACATCCCTTAGTTCTTGAAAGTTTGAAAGCAGCTCATTTTCATGTGTTGTGACCAAAGAGGAATACAAGCGAGACTTACGTGGAAAATCTGCAGTGTTGTTGAAGACAGTGGGATACTGTAGCATTGCAGTTTGGTTTTTAATGTACAGTGTCAATAATCTATTGTGCTTTGGAAGTAAGCTGTGTTCAACCCTTGGGATCACTAGGAGTAGATCTAGCGGGTGAAAACATTTCTAATCGGGAAAAAACAAACTAGATCATGAACTAGAACGCGAAGTAGAGAGAAAACTGGAGAGAGGGAGAGGAGTATTGAGGTAGCTGACCGTCGGGCTTGGTGGAGGTTGAAGCCTTGGCGACGCAGGAAGTCGGGGAAGGAGAGGCAGTGAAGATCCCGGCAGGGCGTGGTCTAGTGGCGACGGCGAAGGCAGTGGACTTTCCATCGCTGGCAGCGCCCCCTCTCTAGATCGGATTAGGGTTGTCGGTGGGGTGTCTGGTGGCTTAGGTGAACCTCGTCTAGAGTGACCCGGCCCCCACCTCCTTTATATGGCGCTGTGCGACGGGGCCCACCAACCATGGCTCAGTTGGGTGCCCCCGATAAGGGCGCGGATTAAAGCCCCGACTCGGTCGTTGGACCGAGATCAACCTAACATTCTCTCTCTTGATCTCACTTTTAAACTCGAACTTAAAATATTTTATCTTTTTTTATTCCATCACAGATTAGTGCATAGAGCGTGCCTTGTCACAACAGTTAGTACCATTGGACTAACAGCTACAACACACCTCTCTGTTTTGAAACAGATTCTCAACTAGGCCCTTATTATCCAGGAATTATAGGCTTTCCCGTAAACCCATGCCGGCTAAGTGTTCTCTGAACACATTAGGTGATAAGCCTTTTGTAAGCGGATCCGCAAGCATCTTATCGGTGCTTACATGCTCAAGACTAATAGCATGGTCCCAGACTTCGTCTTTCACAACATAGAACTTTATGTCAATGTGTTTGGCAGCATTACTTGACCTATTATTGTGAACATAAGTTACTGTTGGTTCATTGTCGCAGTATAACTTGAGTGGTCTATGGATGTCGTCAACCACTTTCAACCCCAGCATAAATTTCTTTAGCCAGTTCACTGGCCCCGTGGCCTCATAACAAGCTACAAACTCGGCATACATTATAGACGATGCAGTGACGGTTTGCTTGGAGCTTTTTCCACGATATGGTTTCCCCTGAGAGAGTAAATACATAGCCTGATGTGGATTTTCTATCATCTACATCTCCCGCAAAATCTGAATCTGAATACCTCTCTATATGGAGAGAATCATATCTTCTGTACGTTAGCATGAGACCTTTTGTGCCTTGCAAGTAACGTAAAGCTTTTTTTACCATTCTCCAGTGTTCTATTACTGGATTACTCTGATATCTGTCAAGTATCCTGGTAACAAAAGCTAAGTCAGGGCGTGTACATACTTGAGCATGCTGTAAGTTTTCGATAGCTGAAGCATATGGAACCGCTTTCATTCGATCGATCTCATATTGGTTTCTATGACATTGGAACTTCCCAAAACTATCGGGCTTGACTATGGGAGCAGGTGAAGTCTTACACGCATGCATATTATATTTCTTTAGAACCTTTTCTAAGTATGCCTTTTGTGATAATCCTAAAACCTACTTTCTTCTATCTCGGTGAATCTCTATTCCTAAAACGAATGAAGCTTCACCGAGATCTTTCATATCAAAATTTGAGGACAAGAACTTCTTCGTCTCCAGTAATAGATTAACATCACTACTAGCGAGTAAGATGTCATCCACATACAGAATTAGGAAAATGAATTTCCCATTCTTGAACTTCACATAAACGCAATTGTCCTCCACATTCTCTTTAAACCCAAACTTCCTTATCGTTCCATCAAACTTTAAATACCACTGTCTAGAGGCTTGTTTTAATCTGTAAATGGATTTATTCAGGCAATATCCCATACATTCTTTTCCTTTCACGACAAAACCTTTTGGTTGTGCCATATAAACATTTTCATCCAAATTCCCATTAAGGAAAGTCGTCTTAGCATCCATTTGATGTAATTCTAAATCGTAATGTGTCACTAATGCCATTATGATTCTATTCTTTCTCTTTGCGTGAAGTCTTTCGCCACAAGTCGCGCTTTAAATCTTTTTACATTCTCTTTGGAGTCATATTTAGTTTTATAGACCCATTTACAGCCTACTGTCTTGGCTCCTTTAAGAATTTTTTCTAAGTCACAAACACGGTTGGTGCTCATTGATCTCATTTCATATTGCATGGCTTCGAGCCACTTTGATGAATGAGCGCTTCTCATGGCTTCTTCAAATGAGGTGGGATCACCCTCTATTTGAAATTCTTTATCACCCTCCATTTGAAATTCTTCACTAGCATAGACATCGTAGTCATCACGAATAGCTGATTTTCTGGCTCTGAGACCTTCTGGGGCCTCATTAGTTGGCACTTGTTCCATGTGGGGCTGTTGTTGCTTTTCCTCATGTGCGACAACTGGCTCTATAGGATCCTGAAGGACAAGTTCCTCATATTCATTTATTGTCGCCACGGGAGAACTAACAACAGGTGTTGTCACTATAGTGTCCTGCATTGTTGATGCAGCAGCAACAGGTAGTGAGAAAAATGGTTCATGAACCATCGGAGTGGGCACATGTACCCGCTTCTCCTCAAAGTTAATTTCTCACGCTACCATGCTCCCCCTAACCATCTCATCCTACAAGAAGACAGCGTGTCTTATTTCTATAAACTTCGTATGTCTGTCAGGATAATAGAAACGATAACCTTTTGACATATCTAGATATCCAATAAAATGGCAACTGACTGTCTTAGAGTCTAGCTTCCCAATGTTTCGGTTAAATACTTTAGCCTCAACTGGATAGCCCCACACATGTAAATGGTTAAGTGAGGGTTTCCTTCCTGTCCACAACTCATATGGTGTTTTGGACACCGACTTGCTTGGTACTCGATTGAGAATATGAATGGCGGTTTTTAACGCATTCATCCACAAACTTATTGGTAAAGTAGAGTAACTTATCATACTTCTCACCATATCCATTAATGTATGGTTACGTCTTTCAGCTACTCCATTCTACTGAGGCTCGCCCGGTGTAGAGTACTGGGCGACTATGCCATTTTCCTGTAAGAACTTTGCAAAAGGTCCAAGAACTTAGCCATATAGGGTATGTCGACCGTAGTACTCCCCCTACGGTCGGATCTTAATATCTTAATCTTTAAATTGTGCTGATTTTCTACTTTAGCCTTAAATATCTTAAATTTATCCAATGCTTCTGATCTTTCCTTAATTGGATAAATATAGGCATAACGAGAATAATCATCTGTGAATGTTATAAATGAATCATAACCATCCACATTTTTCACAGAAAAAGGACCACAGATATCTGTGTGAATTATTTCCAAAATTCCAGCGCTTCGTTTGATATATTTCTTTATTTTCTTAACATACTTTCCTTTAATGCAATCAATACATTGTTCTAAGTCTGAAAATTCTAATTGTGGAAAAATTGATTTCTTAATCATTCGTTCTATTCTCCCCCTCGAAATATGGCCTAAATGACAGTGCCATAACTTCGATGATACATCATGAATTCTCTTTTGCTTATTTCTTGCATTCATAGACGAGGAGGCATTCTCATTCTTAGTGCTTACAACATTCACATTCTCACAAAGTGATAACAAATAAAGCTCGTCTTGTCAGAAGGCAAGACCAACACACTTATGATTAAACATAATCTTACATTGGCCATTACCAAAATGACAAACAAATCCATCATCGTCTAAATATGAAACACTTACTAAGTTTCTACGCAATAAAGGACATCTGTAAGCTTAAGTACAAAGCCATCATTTAATTCTAATGGGAGTTCTCTAATGGCTTCAACTTCAACTTTGACTCCATTTGCTACCTTAATGTGTCTTTCTCCTCTTTGCAGGGTCCTCCTCGTATGGAATCACTGTAATGAATTTGCAACATAAATAGTTGCACCTGAATCAATCCACCAAGTAGATTTTGTATAACTTAAATACAAGGACTCATCTACAAAAGTAATTATGTCCTCACCTTTTTCTCATTAGGTGCTTTAGGAACTCTGGACACTCTTTCTGGTAGTGTCCCTTCTTCTTGCACCATTTGCAGGTATCCTTGTCTACTTGAACATTATTGAATTTCTGATGGTGATCATTCTGTGGGGCCTTTTCTTGTGGCCTAGAGGAGGAGCTATTGTCCCACTGAGGTTTCCCTTGTGGTTTAGCATTATTGTTGTTAAAGTTTTTCTTTTTATTTTCCTTTACATGGTTGACGGAGTTACCATGTGGGCTCTTAAGCCTCTCCTCTTCTTGCACACACATGGTAATGAGCTTCTCAATGTCCTACTTATTTGGCTTTAAGTTGTAATTAACAATAAAAGTCTCATACTCTTTGAGCAAAGAAGCAAAAATCAAATGAACTAGGAACTCATCCTTGAGCCCCATGTCCATTGGCTTGAGCTTGGATGCCGTGCTGCTCATCCTCAATATGTGCTCTCTTATCCCTCCACCAGTGTATTTCTCACTGACTAACTTCTTAATAAGAGTGCTTGCATAAGCCTTTGAAGAGCCATTAAACTGACTCTCCACCTTCTTTAGATACTCAGTGGTGGTGGTACATTCTAGGATTGATACCCTTATTGGATCCTCAATGGAGCCCTTAATCACCATCAAACACTTGCGGTTTGAACTATTCCACTTCGCACGATCAAGGTCGTACTTTATTCTCACTGATGTATGGTCATGCTGCCGAGTAGGAAAAGCTGCATCAGTCTCATTTTCTTCCCTCACCGGGTCCTCAGGCTCAGTGGGACACAGAGAGATAAGCGCTAGTTCATTGTCGGACAGCGCAAGTGCTATCTCAAGCTTCTCTCACCATACGTTATAGTTGCTTCCATTAAGAGGCGGAATGGACGAGATAAACATTATTGGGTTGTATCCTAAAAA